AATAAAATTACGTTATTTAACATTAAAATTCTAATCTGTTTTGGAGTTAATATTGATATCACTATTTGATCTGCACGTTTCTACTTAATGGTTTTGACTCTGGATTAATGCAATCATTTCTTGTGGGTTAAATATATATAACTAATTTTAGTCCATTCAAAAAAATATTGATATCATTATTTTTTAATTTTTATATTTTTTTCAATAATAAAAGCTAAAAAACTTATGTTACGCCAACACCTCACAACATAACATTGACAAGTGGCAAACGAAATTTTATTCTACACAAAACTACTATTAAATTGGGGAAAACTCTAAATAGTTTTCTCTCAAAATTTAATGGTTAATTTTTAGATTTCATTGCGATACAATCCGTATGGTCTACAGTAATGTCATTTTGCTACATAATGCTACAGGTGACCCTATCAGGATTGCTGAATTTCATAGACGGACTATGGTCGAGCTGTGGGGACAAGAGGATCATCATCTTCACCACCAACCACAAAGAAAAACTGGACCTGGCGCTGCTGCGTCCAGGGCGGATGGACGTGCACGTCCACATGTCCTATTGCACTCCATGTGGATTTAGAGTTCTGGCTGCCAAGTACATCGGAATAGAAGATGACGAGCTCTTCGGAGAAATTGCGGAGGCAATCAGGACGACGGAGGTGACCCCAGCAGAGGTGGCGGAGCAGTTAATGAGAAACGATGATGATCTCGACGCCCTGCTTAATGACCTAATCCAATTTCTTAACGTGAAGAAGAGGGAAAATGAGGAGGCAAAGGCCAAGAAGAATAGTGCACAACAAGAATCGATGGCTAGTGAAGGAGGGCAAACCGAAGAAGAAGAGAACGAAAGTAGAGAATTAATTTAGTATATGTCAGGATTAGATTAAGTGTACTGTTAAGGCCACAAAAAAAAATGATTAAGTGTACTGTTTTTAATTAAAGTTATTTTTCTGACATGTCAGTGTTTTGTTGAGATTAGTTAATGCAAGTTTTGTTTCCTTGGGTGAAGTTAGTTAATGAAAATTGAAACTTGAAAACCTAAGATGCGAACCGAAGTAATAGAGTTAGTTAGACCCCCTCCACCCACCCCACCAGGGTTTTAGGTTTCCTTGTGCCCTTTTTTTCCTTTCCCATATCCCCAATTACATGCTAAAAAAAACAAAGTTAAGTAATAAAAAAAAAAAAAACTAGTTTAAACTATATCTCTAGAATATATATTAATAGTGTATTAATTTTTTTTTTACATTTAATTTTTATAAAAAGTTACAAAAGTTGATTTTATTTTTATTATAAATATTATTTATATGCTTTTAATTGACAAGGTATTATTTTTTAATTTTTTAATACAAATTAATTATAAAAACATACAATAAATGTACTTTCAACTTAAACTCCCTAAAAAATAAAGTCTAAGAAGATTATTTTTTGTTTGTAGTAAGTTATGGTCAAAGCTTCTAAATAAAATTGCTTTTGTGATGAACAAGTAGAGTTTAATTGTCCTAAATCAAGGATTACTTTTGCAGTGATCAAGTAGTATATCATCTTGAGTTATCTTGCCTTAGGTTAGATTACATGTTCAATCCAAAGGAAATACAGGGGAGGAAGGAGAAAAAATTTTTGTTTAATTGTTTAATTAAATTAAAACATTCCTTTGTTAGTATTATGTTGATTATAATTGTAACTATTAATTTTTTGTCTTGTACTATTTGGAAAAATA